AGCTAGAACACTTCCCTGTATAAGAAAAGCTTTTTCATCGTATTTCTACTCGGGTTTACTCTGCGTTAATCGCTTTCACATGCACCTAGAGTGAGATCTCATCCATCTATCATGTATGTAAAAATAATTTGTATTATATCATTGAAATAATTAGGCTACAGTACAAAATCAATGTAATTAAAATATGCGTCGGCCTATATGAATAAGAAAGGACATCAAGTGTGTACTCAAAACCAGGGAACAGTGAAATCAAGATTACAGGTCGACTTCAAGAGAGACATGGGCCTTGTGATATGCACTTTACAAACCCCTATACCCCAGTTTGTACTGGGGGCTCCATTTTGGTACACAGTACTCTGTTTCTATACGGTACATTTTCACTGTAAAACAGATCTTACAAAATATACCATTTATCGGAAAGATAACAAGCACTGCCATCTCATTCCAGTGACAAAATCAATAAAAAGTTCAAAAGAAATAAAATCAGTGAAATGCAATTAATATAAATAATGAAACAAAAAACTGGATCCGGGCCTGTTGTACTGATATGCGGCCTACATTGGAGTAGGGCTACCCTCTTGTACGTGAAAATACAGCATAGGCCTATAGCAGGCCTAGCCTAGTTTGGCATGAGAGAAATGTTTCTCTTGAATAAAATAGGTGGATGCATGCATATTGAAAACATAAACTTAATGCACTACCGGTATTACATGACGGAAGAATAGCCATATTGATTGAGAGAGAGAGAGAGAGAGATCGAGATCGAGATCGAGAGAGAGAGAGAGAGAGAGAGAGAGAGACCCTAGCTAACTAAACTAAATCTGAACCTAGGTCTATCTCTCATCATAATTATAGGCTAGGCCTGTAGGCCTAGGCTAGCCCAGTATGATTAGGCCTTGCTTATTTCATGGCTTGTGCCAAGGTGTATCTTTATGTTTTACCGGATCAATTTAAAACATGCTATTTATAGCTGATGTTTGAGTTTAATGCAATGGGTAGGCATAGGCCTACTCGGAAGACAGGAACACACTGCTCACTCATTTTGTTGAGCGTGTGATGAGAGAAGCACTGCGCGATGACGTAATAAAGCTGCGGTACAGAATAGATGGGTACTGTATTTACGTGACGTAAACAACCCGGAAACATGGCAAAACAGGTACTGATTTTCGGTGTGTTTTTTTGGTGTTTTTTCGTTGTTATATCCATACTTGTCAACCTTGAGATATTTCAAAGAGTAAGATCGGGTGACACATAAAGAGTGCCGAAGGCACGAACAGTAACTGGGGCCAGGGCGCTTCTAGGCTTAAATGGCATATCTAATCGATTAGTGAGTTTATAATTATCTCAGATACAGTTATTGAAAGATACTTTAAGATTACGAAAGGCATCTTCCCTTCTTATGAAAATTCATTACAAATTGAAAAAGAAACAAAATTTGCTCAAATTTTAGGATAAGCGTAAGTTACGGCGAATGCGTACGGGTTGACAGGTCTATATCCAATATCCAGCCTAGAAAAGTAGCGGAATGTGGTCGTGACATAGAAACCCCAGTGTATGAGATATGAGTACATTCCTTCCAGCGGTTTCAGAGGAGATAGGTGAACTTACAACCGGGCGTTAGTAGAATTAATATAGGCCTATAGATATTTTTAAAAATTCTTAGTAATTATTTAAAAAACAAAGGTATTCAACTTTTTTTTAAATTAATGTTTTCCTCAGGATCTGACGTCGCTTAATAGTAATTGTGGCGTCAGTAGATTTTGGTGTCTTGAAAAAGACGTTCTTACAAAGACGAAAATGTCCTTATATACATCAATTCATTACGGAAATCCATAATTTTCCAGAAATAAGCCTATTTATTATTTAGTTAGTTTTTATAAGAATATAATTCTACTTGGTTATTACATAGTTTGATTAATCTTAATTAATTTTAATTAATATATTTAACAATCATAACAAAGATATCACAGACAATTGTATCGAAAACAAGTCGATGCTCACATTATCTTATATCTCGTAAGTTTGTCTTATTTTTGTAAGATTTGATTTTGGATTCTGACGTGCGCGCCCCTGTTCTTGCGTTATTATGCCTAAGACGGCAATGCGAAGCACCATGATCGCAGATTTTGGCATTTATTTCTTCAATCAACTTGTTCATTCTGAACAGGTCCACCAGCATCCTAAGCCGCACATCCCAACTGTTAGGAAGTACATGATTCCCCACCCAATCCTCTTTAGGTAGAACTGATGAAGGCCTAATATACCGAGTGTGTTCAACGCCAAGACATACATATAAATATCATAACGTTTGTCATCCAGACTGCCGTTTTTAGCTCATTTCAAAAGGCGCTTCATTCTGAAGATGTCGAACATCCAACCAAATCCGAATAGTCCTACATTACACGTATACAACACACCCCAACCAGTGACGTAATGGTGGAACCTGTTAAAATTAAGCATAATACCGCTGCTATCATATTTTAAATTATCAATTCATATAATTATATGAAAATAAGTTTAGTTCACTAGAATAAAACACATTTATTAAGTATTATATGTCTCTCTCTATTCAAAGACACCTTGAAAGACCACCTCCAATTCTGAGACCACTTTTCTGTGGTCCCAAATTAACAAATGTCTGTTATTTTTATTATTCTATTTAGAGACCAAAGCTGCTAGAAACCACAACAACCCCGGTCCCAAAAGTGGTCTTTAATTGGACGGAAACCTATATTTTATTAGCATTCACCCATAAGCCGTTGGGGGATATAGTACGGTAACTGGGTGCATTTGCATGAATTTTATTTTTTTTTAAGAGAGGAAAACAGGTTAAAATATATAAAAATAATATAACCAAAATATTAATAACTACAAGGTTTGTGTGCGTAAATTCTCTTAATACGAATTAAGGGTAGCAGAATTTCCTTGCCATACAAATTACAGCTCCCACTAATGAGTCAGTCGAGAAATACGGGTAGCTGAAATTTTTCACGCAAATCTGATTACGCGAAACCATATCGAAATTTCACGTTCTACTCCTAACTCTGGGTTGTGCTTCGCACACGCCGCTGATGGGGGCCTTCCGGGAACCATGTGTCGAGTCCAGTCCAATAGTAACAAAGTTTATTTACTGTACTGTATATTATAATTGTGGTTATTTCAAAGCCTAAAAGCACAGTGATGTAACCCATTGCGCCAGATAACGTCGGAGATGTGACACTTACTGTCTGAAAAACTGTAACAACACAGATCATCAAAGTCTCGAGCTCAAGAAGTGAATTACATTACATTGGTTACAGCATCACGCATTGATTCCTGTGGTTAGACCAAAGTGGGTTTGATTCACTAAAAGATCATGTAAAAGGAATGAGTTGTTGATCGTACCCTTGCTACAATCACCCAATCATTTTTTCCTTGCCAAAATTGTCTTTCTGCCCATAATCCAATTTCAGGTAGGCCTATGTTGTTTGTGTAACTATTTTGTCTTTCATTTGTTTGTTCGTACAGAGAGTTGTTCGGGGGTATAAATTCCACCTGATCAAACAATACACTGGACGATCCGGCAAGTGTAAATACGGTCTTGCTCTCCTGGGGGGATTTGAAGAAAAAACATGGCCTAATTGAGTCATCAGTTGAACTTTCCAATGTGGTTAGCTGTCCCTCTCCTAATTCATCACTTTGTGACAACGAGGCTCATACCTTTGACCTCTAGAGACCTTAGAGTATATATCATATTTGCCGCATATTAACAAAAAGCGTCTACTAATCTATGTAGAAACTTCCTGTTTCATATATCTTCAACATATCACAAATATATAATTTCTCTAAGGGAAATTTACAGTAGGCCTAATTAGAAGGTCCTATCATCTAATCGCCTTCATTTTACTCAAACATAATATACACAATTGTTTTTATAATAACCAATCGGTGTGAATTTCTGGAATTTTGGTGTTCTCTTTTTAAATTTTTAAACAATTATTGTAATACACTTATATACACTCTTTTATTGGCTGTCTGTTCGCAATTTTTAATTTATATATTTATCTAAATAAATAATAAAGACATTGAATACAAAATTAGACGTCGGAAAAGCTCATTTCCCGCCATCTAGAAATTCACATTTTCTCGGAGGAGGATCCCGACCCCCTTTTATTTTTGGGGTTCATTGATTCATGGAAAAAAATACGTATGCAGAGTATGTATACCGGTACACACATAATAGGCCTCTTTACTGTAATAAAAATAAAAAAAAAATACCTGACCGTTTTCAAGAGGGAGAAACCTTGAATTCTAAAGAACTTTAAAGTCATTAAAAGAGGAGTCGGGAAAGCTCATTTCCCGTCATCTAGGAATCAAGGTTTCCCCTGGGAGAACCCCCGGACCCCCTCCCTTTCTTTTTGGGATTTATCGATTCACGGAAAAATGAATACGTATGCAACTACTTAATTTTGTGTATGATGTATACACACATAATAAAGAATGAGAAAAACTTACCTGACAGTTTTCAAGAGGGGAAAACCTTGAATTTTGAAGAACTTAGAAATATAAAAGACGTTTCAAAAGTCGGGAAGCTCATTTCCGGCCATCTATAAATCAAGATTTTAAAAGGGGTAACCGGAAACCCCTTTCTCTTTGGGGTTCATCGATTCATGGAATCGTTTTCAATAGTGGAAAACTTTGAATTTTGAAGAACTTTGAAGTCATTAAAAGACACCTCACCGGGAAAGCTCATTTCCCCCTTTTAGGAATCAAACTTTTTGCTGGGGAGCCCCGAACCCCCATTTCTTTTTGGGATTTATCGATTAATGGAATAAGAATATGTATAGGTATGCAATCACTCAATTTTTTTTATGGTGACACACATAATGCCTATCATTTACTGTAATAAAAGTGAGAAAAATTTACCTGACTGTTTTTAAGAGGGTAAAACCTTGAATTTTGAAGAACTTAAGATTCATAAAAAGACACCTCAGAAGTCTGGAAAGTCATCTCTAGGAATCAAAATATTCCTGAGGGAGAACCCCCCCCCCCCACCTTTCTCTTTGAGTTTATCGATTTATGGGAAAACAAAAACGTATGTAACTACTCATTTGGTTTTTTTTGTATGTATGTATACACACATAACAGGCCTATTGACAAAAATAAGAATGAGAGAATTTGCCTAACCGCTTTCAAGAGGTGGAAAACCTTTTTTGTCATTAAAAGACACCTATAGCTCAAAGTCGGAAAAGCTCATTTCCTGCCATCTAGGAATCAAAATTTTCCGTGGGGAGAAAAATTGTGCCCCCTCCCCCTAAAATCGAACCCATTCATATTCAAATTCATCTTACTAGTGGGCCCCCACCCCAATTTGAAAAATGTTCCGCCGGCCCTGCATTATAAAGCGCCACCAAAAAGCAACTGAGAATTTTATTTATTTTAGTATAGTTATAAAATGTGTTTTATCAGTCTTTTTATTTTCTTTTTCTAAAGGCTTAATTTATATAATATGCCAGCAAATTATAAATTTCCTTTGTGTGCGGTATGATGTTATATACGAAAAACATACCGGTAATATATAAATCAATAATTATGATGATTTTTTTTTTGCTGCAGCTCGCTTTATTTATAATTATTTGGGTAAGTACATCAGAGATTTAATAAGTGTATCGTGTAAAGTGGTGACGTCATTCACAGAAATATAGACTTTAAATTCATGCAGGGCCTATCAACATGCACACACAATTTGAGAGCCTTTTTATTTGTTGAACGGACAGTCCCAAGCATAGACTGTGTATTTTGAACCTATTCAACGTTCAGATATTCATATACCATTAGTGTAGGTCGGTGGATATTCGCACTTTCAATTACAATTTAATAGTTGAAATAAGAGACGTGATAACTCTTTTTCTTTTACATTATAAAGCATCACCAAAAAGCAACTGAGAATTTTATTTATTTTAGTATAGTCATAAAATATATTTTATCAGCCTTTTTAATTTTTTTTTCTAAAGTCTTAATTTATATAATATACCAGCAAATTTTAAATGTCTTTTGTGTGAGGTATGGCGTTTGATACCCGCAATAATTAGTTAATGGGAGCAGTTTATACAGACTACATTGAAGTCTAAGATCTCTTTGTGATTCGTACTAATAAAATGTTTACGATACATGATGGTAGCTTTCGTATGGAGAAGCACATTTACTCAATTCAAAATAATATTTTTTTTTTTAGAAATAGCAGAAAAAGGACTCTGAATTTTCAATTTAACTAAACAACTGACCAATCAGAACGTCTTACAATTATTATTATTATAATTTTTAGTTTTGTCTATTCTTCTACTTCTATTAGAAATATCTAGCATTTTCATTCCATAATCCTTTTTGAAATTTCGATCACTTTGGTTCCCAACCCTCACACCTTGGGAAATCTAATGGCGGCTTCGGCATCTCACTTGGTTCACCAAACTGCAGAACTATAACCATTCCTCCCTATCAAAACCAAGAAAATTTGTTTTGTAAAATTGTATGAATTTTAATATAATAACTGTTTGTATACAGTATAAGCATTACCTACACCAACAATACATCACCTTCCTGATTACACATATTTTTCTTAGTATATTGGGCAAAACATACATGTGTTTCCAGATGCTACTCATTATACCTGGATCATCAGTGAACCACGAAAAACACGGCTCGAAAATAAGGTGAATTTTGGAACTTCATATTTTTCGAGGTGCACCATCATTGTGTAATACAATGTAGCTGACGGTTACTTGAGTCTGCTCAACCATGAAGCCTCTGTGGTCTAATGGTTATAACGCTCGGCTTGACAGTGAGAAGTCGCAGGTTCGAGCTATGCTACACGATGTACCATCACTTCCTTTATTCGAACAATGAATTTACCTTTCTTTGATTATA